ATAAAAAGCAACCAAGGTTTATAGATGCCTATAAAGTAAAAGGTCATAATCGTTAATATATCCGACATTCTTGTTATTGGCTGTCTAGTATGACGAAGAGATGGTTACCACTTAGTGTTTCGCCATTACAGGTATATCTTTTCAGGTATGATTTTTACATTTTTTTTTCTAACTGATTAAAATAGGAGTGCTTTGAGATATTTATATATAGTGAATCATCTGGTACCGCCGAAAATCACTGGTACTTTATTTATGAGAAATCCTTGTTATAAAATTATTATTATTATTATTAATAATAATAATAATAATAATAATTTTTTCAAATTTGCTCAGTGGAAAATGTGATAATGTCATTTTTGACCTTAGGTCTCTGATCCGAAAAGAAATGAGTATACATCGGAAATCAAAGGAAAAGTACAAGGACCTTGAAATAGAAATCTCGAAAATGTGGCATATGGGAACATCAACAATCCCTGTTGTAGTTGGAGCTCTAGGATTGGTTGGAAAAGATTCCAGTAGACTAATTGAAGGGATTCATGGAAGTCCATGCCTCAAGGAGATACAAAAAATTGTTCTGACAAGTACAGCCCACACTTTACGAAGGGCTTTATCTATGTATTTTTTTTTTTTTTTTTTTGTTAGTGGAAAGTGTCATGATGCCATTTCTAACCTTAGGTCTCTGGGTGGGACCCGGAAAGAAATGCGTACACGCCAGAAATCAAAGAAAATAAAAATAATAATCATAATGTGATATATGAAGACATCAATAATTCTAGATGTGGTTAGTTTGGAAAAGGTTTCGATACACTCAATGTAGCCCATGCCTTAAAGAAATACAAAACAATGTTCTCACATGTACAGCTCACTTCTTACGAAGGGATTTATTTATGTACAATTTTTAGTGGAAAATGTCATGATGCTATTCTTGGTGTTAAGTTTCTGGTTGGGACCCGGGATAAAAAGCGTAGGCAAAATGTGTGTGATCTTAGGTTTTGTTTTGTTTTTATTAATAATCAGTGGAAAATATGAAGCCATGTCTGACCTTAAGTCTCTGTTTGGGACTCGAAAGGAAATTCGTATTCAACAGAAGTCGAAGGAAGAAATAATAATAATAATAATAATAATAATAATAATAATAATAATAATAATAATGATAAAATCAAGGAACAGTTCGTCTCATGTGGAGAGTCTTATCAATGTAAAGAAAAAAATAAACACTTCACGTGTGAAGTATCATTTAAAATTAGAATTTGTGTATTAATTGATTATTTTCGCTTCTAGTTACATGTGTTCCCTATTTTAGTTGTTGCTGCTTTTGAAAAACATCAAGTGGATCTGGTATTTGAATTCTATAGCGCCAGTCTATAAAATCTGACGAAAGGTTTGTTTCATTAAATACTAAAGGATTCATTCGCTTGAACCCATTTTTAATCACTGATCAGGAAAAAAAACCGGTTACATCTATGTTGAGACATTTACGAAAAGGAAGGTGCCATTCACGACATCCATATGAAAGTGTCGTTCTGACGAGGCTATTTAAAAACATGACTTGTGTTCTCAAGATAATATTTCGCTTTTGAAGAATCTTGCCGTGTGGACAAGGCGACTTCTAAAGCAGAATATTCTAGGTAGAATTTCCTTATATCTATACTAAATTTACTGTAAGAGATTTGAATTCCAAATCCACATTCTGAATTTTTATGATAGATTTTGTGCATTAATCATCACTACTTTCATTCCAATTCCAAGTTATAGATTTTGTTTTAGAAAGGTTTATCGTAAGTCCCACTTCTTGGGACACTTGTTAAAGAATGTTTATTTTTGTTCAAGACCATTCTTATTCCAACTAGGCACACCTGTGTTATCAGCGTCCATAATAATCGGTAAAGTGGCCTCCAGTGGGAAAAAAAAAAAGTAATTTTAGAATTCTCAAAGAAAAATGTTCGATATTGATTTTGATATAAAATTTAATCTATTTTGAGTAATTATAGTTAACTTATTAACTATATCAAGCTAAAGAATCACCAAAAGTGGGCTAATACTAATTCTTGTGGGAGGGAAGCCAAAACATGCTTTTGTTTTCCTTCTACACACAGATCTTGAATTCGTTTTGGCATAAGTTTTTCAAGGAGAAATCACATAAGTATTAAACAGTCAACTCGCGAAATATTCATATAACATTTAAATTATGTATTCACCCAGAGAAAGTACATTAAAAGTTTTGATATTTACTTACAACTAAATATCCGGTTTTTTTTTTTTTTTTATTTGTTTTTTTGTGAGTCGGCACTTCTGTTTAAATAAAGGCGAAAGTCAGTGTGTCACACTTTTTCAACTTTACTCCTACTAGAGGCCGTAGCCCAACATACCATGCTATTATGGAATCAAGCTGACACCATGAGCAAATTAAAAACATTCCAGTTAGGGTCTGGATCCGTATTCCTGAAATTTGAGATCCGCAAGTTTTCGGCGATTTTACGTGAAATTTTGCAATAAGTTTTTTTGGTACGAAAACAAATTTTAGAACTTGGACATAAATATGGGAATAATTCAAATTAATTGCGAAATCCAGTGAAAGTCAAAAAAAAAAAAAAAAAAAAAAAAAAAAGAAAAGTGTTTTTAAAATCAAATAAAAAAAAAGAATTATTACATTAAGATAAACAAGAACTTTCTTTTTATGTGCCATGTCCTTTCAGGACGTAGGCGATCATGGCTCTCCACCTCCCTCTATCCCTTGCATTGCTCAACAAGTTCCTTCCCTCTGCTTCCTCCCACAGACCATGTTCTGTCATCCACTTGCTTAAGTCCTCCAGGTATGACACGCGTTGTTTTCTTTTGTCTTTCCCTATCAGATTCTCCAGGCCCTCATTCCTCATTATGTCTCAGAAACTTCAGCTGCCTCTTCCTGATGTTAAATATAAGCCCCCTCCTCATTTGCGACCTCTCTAAGATCTCATTGTTGCTCACACGCTCGATCCATGGCATCCTTAGCATCCTTCTGTAGAACCACATCTCTGTCGCCTCGAGTCTCTTCTTCATCTTTGAGGAAATCGTCCAAAATTCGTTGCCGTAAAGAAGGGCGGATGTCACGTAACAGTTCAGTATTCTTTTCTTCGTTACCCAAAGAAATCCTCCTGTCTCGCAATACTCTGCCCAGCTTTTGGAATGTGTCCTTGGCCATCCCAATACGTCTACGGATCTTAGTGTCGCACTTACCGTCCTCTGTCAAGACGCTACCCAGGTATTTAAACTTCCGCGTCTGCTTGATTCTAGTGTTCCTGACCATCAAATCGCATTTCGAGCTCATCCTCTTATTGATGACCATGCACTCAGTCTTCTTGTAGTTTATCACTGTTCTTTAAAACTTAACATCAAACTCTACCCTTCATCTTTAACATTCAAATATGATAAATCGGAAATAAGGATAGAATCCCGAGAGGTTTGGAGTGTTTCATTTGTGACAAAGGGATTACAAGATAAAATAAATTCATCACCCAAAAGGCCGCATAGATGATTCTGGACTTTATCGAGACTGGAAAATGAGGACAAGACACCACCCTTCCATATATGGCGGCACGGCCTGATCTGCCTCTTGTAAAGGTAGAGGATAACAGGAGGACCCTGGAGCGCTACAGGGAATCGACCATTTTTCCGGTATCTTTATCGATGTATCGAATTTACGAGTCCCACTTGAGGTTTAGTGCTAGCCAATAGGCGCTCAATGCAAGGGGCCTCCCCGCCCCCGAGCGAACAACAGTTCACTGCGATAGACAAAAGTTCTGGGCTTGCTCGATGATGATATGAAATAAATAATATTGTCTCCTATGAAATGTAACTTCTCTCATATGCAACATCTTAGAATAGAATTGATATTTGTTAGTTCTACAAAATATATTTTTCGAAACTCTTTTATGCAGAAATAGTGACAGAATAGCGATAGGTTTAGGCGTTTCGTCTAAACCTATCGCTACTCTGTCAATATTTCCATGGCAAATGTTCAGACGAGATACACCTCTCAGTTTCGCCAGTTCAGACCTTTACAGACCGTTCGTATGGTGATTTTCTAAGCGTATCTTAGGTGTGGCACAAGGCCGAAAGTTTGGAGCACGAGGTAAGTATCGAATTCACTACTTATTCTAAAACTGATCTTGTAAATCATTACACCACATTGAAATATTCCACATTCCGTTGGTGTGAAGGACGTTACCCGAATTTTACATTTTGTACTGATAATCATAATTTTATTTTTTTTTACTAATATTCACCCTAATGCAAAGTTTAAGTGCCACTCAAGGTAGAGGGGTACTGAAATAGGTTGTTGTGTGAATGGTAAGATGCTCGGTTTATGAGCATATGTAGGGAAAATAACGGTTAACCTTAGACATGAAGTGTTTAAGATTGTGGTGGTCGGGAAACATTCTCTTGGGAGTCGGTTCGACAAAGTAGAAATTTGTGGGAGGACACTATTTGAGTGGAACTTACTGATGGAACAGCAGTCTAGATGGATAGATAGATAATGAATACATTGTCAAAGATAGATAGATAGATAGATAGATAGATAGATAGATAGATAGATAGATAGATAGATAGATAAACGGGCTATCATAGATAGATAGATAGATAGATAGATAGATAGATAGATAGATAGATAAAAGGACTATCATAGATAGATAGATAGATAGATAGATAGATAGATAGATAGAGAGATAGATAGATAGATTGGTTGGTAGGTAGGTAGGTAGATAGTTAGATAGATACATAATGACCGTCAAAGATAGATTTGATAGGTAGATAGATAAATGAACAGTCATAGATAGATAGATAGATAGATAGATAGATAGATAGATGAATAGATAAACGGATATCATAGATAAACGGATATCATAGATAGATAGATAGATAGATAGAGAGAGAGAGAGAGAGAGATAGATAGATGAATGAGAGATAGATATGAATAAACGGACTATCATAGATAGATAGATAGATGAATAAACGGACTATCATAGATAGATAGATAGATGATAGATAGATAGAGAGAGAGAGAGATAGGAGATAGATAATAAACGGACTATCATAGATAGATAGATAGATAGATAGATAATGATAATAAACGGACTATCATAGATATAGATAGATAGATAGATAGATAGATGAATGAATGATAAACGGACTATCATAGATAGATAGATAGATAGATAGATAGATAGATAGATAGATAGATAGATAAACGGACTATCATAGATAGATAGATAGATAGATAAACGGACTATCATAGATAGATAGATAGATAGATAGATAGATAGAGAGAGAGAGAGAGAGAGATAGGGAGATAGATAGATAAACGGACTATCATAGATAGATAGATAGATAGATAGATAGATAGATAGATAAACGGACTATCATAGATAGATAGATAGATAGATAGATAGATAGATAGATAAACGGACTATCATAGATAGATAGATAGATAGATAGATAGATAGATAGATAGATAGATAGATAAACGGACTATCATAGATAGATAGATAGATAGAGAGATAGACAGAGAGATAGATAGAGAGATAAACGGACTATCATAGATAGATAGATAGATAGATGATAGATAGATAGATACATAATGACCGTTAAAGATAGATTTGATAGGTAGATAGATAAATGAACAGACCGTCATAGATAGATAGATAGATAGATAGATAGATAGATAGATAGATGAACAGGGAAATGAGGCTAAGCGAATGAGGCTGGTTCTCTTCGGTGAACTCGGTGTGGCGGATTCTAGCTGTGCTAAACTGACTTAGAATGAATTATTTAAACATTTGTTTAATAAACTAGAACCGTAGAATATTATTCAATATCAAGATCGGATATAATTAGTTAGGAATGAGAAAATAGACAAATGGCAAACCATTTGCGAACGGATTGCGTACATTTATAATCATGAAGGTAAGGTTCGATAACTTCTTCTACCACGAAGAGACTGCACATAAAACACTGTTTTAGGAAATTAAAAAAAAAATAAAAAAATAAAAATTCTCTTTTAAACCCCAGCACTGTTAATAATCTTTAAGAACCTGAAGAGAATACATGTTGTCACTTGATCCTTAGTTAACAGTCGAGCAGAAAGTACTTGGGTTAAAGAAATTCATAACTAATTAAGGAAACTATTATTTTTTAGTGATGAACCAATTATTTTTTCTAAAATTAACTGAGAGTTATTGTAAATCGTTAAAACGATAATGCTGACAGCATTAAGAATGTTCCCTATACCCAATACTGAAATTAATTATCATTCACCTCATTACGGCAAGTATTGTTCAGTTTGTTCATATCTTAGCTGTCATAATTGATGGTGACGTCATCACTGACTCTCCCCTTATACACGTTTGGACATGCGCAATATCATTGTATTTTATTTTGGTATCTAACCCAGCCAGTCAATTTCACACTGTTAACATCTGAGTCTCTTTCTGCCTATCTAGTTGGCTAGCTAGCTAGCTATTATTCCGATCATTATCTATCTATCTATCTATCTATCTATCTATCTATGACAGTCTGTTCATTATATATATATATATATATATATATATATATATATGACTGTTCATTATTCATCTATCTATCTATCTATCATCTATCTATCTATCAGTATCTATATCATCATCTATCTGTTATGGGGTCCTCCTTTTTCATATAAGTGGACTCGACCAGAGTGTAACTTGGACTGCTGCTACCGTTAAATACCCAGAGTCAGTCAGAAGAAGAGATTGACAGACAGAGCAGAGATTGTGAGTTGGAGGTAGAGTAATAGTGTGAGGTAACCGCTTGTAGAAGTCTCAGTTACAAGCACGTAGACTCTAAGGAAGTCCTACTCCGAGACTGTGTGTATATATATATATATATATATATATATATATATATATATATATATATATATATATATATATATATATATATATGTGTATATATATGTATGTGTGCCACTAACAGCGTTCTGGACAGTATTACTCATTGTATTATTGTGTAAATACATTTAATTTCTTATCCTTAATTCTTACGTTTGTCATTCTTTGGAGACCGAATTTCATCTCGGATTCCACAACACTATTTTGGTTTGTAAATTTATATATTTCGATATTATTGTTTTTATTATAGTTATTTTGGTATCTCTCTCTCTCCTTCTATCTCTTCTCTCTTTCTCCCTCCCTCGATGCAATGGCTTAAAAAATGAGCGCTCAAACTGGACGCTAAATCTGGAGGTCGCCATAAGAAGCAAAAAAATGATATTCACTAGACTTTTCGTATTCGTCTTACAAAAAAATCAAAGAGCTCAAGTGAAGATTATCATTAGACTCCTCTTCATTTTGTCCTCATTTTGATTGCTCATCTAATTTCTAATGTTTCGGCCTCCGGCATTCTTCAGGTTTTTGCAGCATTAAAAACAGGGACGCCATAGAAATTATCGATAACTTCCAGGCAGAAAAATAATAATAAAGCAATTGTTCAAAATAATAGATCGTTAAAACCATTGTTTCATAATTGATTAAAAAAAAATGGCGTCAGGCCTAACGTGACTGTGTCCAGTTCTTTCCGTTATAATTTGCACCGCTTTCGAAATTGAGAGATTTTTTTCATCTTTCAGCCGAGTAGAACCAGCTGCAGAATTTTAAGTCTGTAGACCGTTAGATAGTTCGATATTCGTACTAGTTGGGTATTTTGCATAGCTTATCTTATCTATAGATTTAACAAGTCGGTGCCTGATGATATATACAGTGGGGTTCGATAAAAGTGACTTTTTTACTAAATGTTCTCTTCTCCGATGAAACGGAAGTTGAGCTAAATTCAAAGGATAAGCGATCTAAAATCCAAAGAAGAAGCTTTGAAAGCTCTTTGAATTTAGCAGTAAGTACTGTCAAGCATCCGTTCAGTATAATGTTCTGGGGGATGCTTTTCTTTTCATGGAACTGGTTTCTTAAAATCTATTGAAAAGACCCTCAGAAGCGAGCAGTACAAGAGAATTTTAGAGCCTTGTCTGCTCCCTTCTGCTGAAAGGGTGCAAATCGACCCCACCAAACTCATTTTTAATGCTTCCTGTCACAAATCAAAATTGATGAAGGAATACTTTGATGAGAAGCAGGTGAGTGTTATGACATGGCCGCCCCAATCTCCTGACCTCAACCCCATAGAAAACTTATGGAGCATTATAAAGTACAGGCTCTCGAGAAAGCAGTTGAGCAAAAAAGAGGATTTGATTGTGAATTTCATATCCGAATGAAATTCAATGCTTGGAGATGAGATTTGCCAGAACCTAATCAAATGAATGCCAAAAAGGGTTGAAAAGGTCATTCAAAATAAAGGAGGACCCATAGATTATTAAATATTTCGAACTATATTACCTATTATAAATAAATTATACCTCTATTATTCTTTATTTAAAGCTGTTCGGTTATGTTTCTATTGATTACTAGTTGCAGGAAATAAGTGAGTCACTTTTTTTGCACAGAGTTTTTCCCTAAATCTCATTTATATCCAAAAATATAATTATCAATAGAATACCTTAGGGTGAGTAAAATTTTTACTAGTTGGTCGGGAAGGGGTCTTTATATTAGTAAGATTAAAAATTAGTTTGACCCCAAAAACAATAGGCGAAAAAGTTTTTAAGTAAAAAAAAATAAGGTGAGTCATTTTATCGAACAGCACTATATATATATATATATGTGTGTGTGTGTGTGTGTGTCTGTGTGTGTGTGTGTGTGTGAATATTTCGAGATCTGGAATTATCATTACACGCTGAAACAAATTTGGGATTGAGATTGCCTGTTCAGACACGCTTAGGCGATCATGTATATTTCTATACATGACTGACGAGGCAGGGTTTTTTTTTCCCGCAGTAGGTTTCCATTTCTTTCTGCGGTAGACCAGTTGCCCTTCCTCAATCCGAGCCACTAACCATTATTCCAAACATCGAGACACGGTGGAGTAATGGATAACGGAGCCGAGTTCGAATTCCAATCGAATCCATTACTTACGTGCTAATACTCTTGGGAAAGGTATGAATCCTCTTCTTCTCCCTCACCCCCAGCTACGGGTAAATAGCAGAACAGATCGGGTTCTATAGCCTTGGATGGTAACTGGTCTATAGAGATACCAAAATCAAGGAAATATAGCGATTTAAATATATGAGATGTATTTTAACAGCGGACAAGTGCGACACTGAAATCTGAACGTGCATTGGGAAAGCCAAAATTGCCTCCCAAAAGCTAAGCAAAGTATTAAGAAACAGGAAAATTTCGTTAGAAATACAGAAAATAGTACTGAATTGTTATGTAATATCAGTCTCCCCACATAGCAGTGGATGGTGTCCATCTCCCCCCAGGAACGGAAGAAACTTGAGGTGATAAATGTTTAGGTCTACCGAATGGTGTTGAGAATACAATGGAGTGAACGTTTTTAGAGAAAAAGGGAAATAAAAAGGTCCTCATATTTAACATCAAGAAGAGAGTTGAAAGGTACATAATGAGGAAAGTGTGCTTAGAAATTTGGACACTCACGGGAATTATTAAAGGCAAGAAATAAACAACGCTCGCTGTTGACATTTGTGTCCACCTCTATATTCATACATTAATACTCTCTAATCCTGATATTAAACCATGAATATAGCATATTTTAAAACTATATTTTATCATTTCTCTCTCTCTCTCTCTCTCTCTCTCTCTCTATATATATATATATATATATATATATATATATATATATATATATATATATATGTAAAGAAAGAACAGTAAGATATATAATCCGGTGTTCTTATAGAAGAATACATCCCTACCCCTACCAAAACGTAACTAATAACTGATACATCAGAATACAGCGATAATGAACACGCAGACACCCCTTGTCTGGTTGAATGGATTTTACTGTAACCTTGGAAACGTGAATTATGATTTTTGCTGTGTCTTTAAAACCCAGTAATTTTAAAAGGTACTCCAAAATTCGCTTGTGGATGAAATGGAACTAATATCTTTAATTTAATTACAAAATTAAATTCGGAGCTTTCAGCTTCCATTTTTGAAACATGCTTAGAACTGTGTAGCGAAAAAAATATATTTTAAATCAATTAATTTATAATATATATATATATATATATATATATATATATATGATGATGATTGACTCTCATGTATTCGACGTATTAGGGTCAAGCAGCTCAGTTCCTAGGGACCGACAGTCAGATACCAGTACATATGATTTCATTATAGTGGTCAATGCTTTGTGCAGAACCAACCACAATTTTTGAAAAATTATTATTGCGTCTCCAGATTTAAGATCGACACCGCGAACTAAGTAGGAATACAATTTGAATCTGGCCTGATGATCCTTCGATTCGAGTGTTAAACTTAAGTAGCCCTGGTTTTATTTTTTATTCTGTACTTTTATTGCAATTTTATAAATACCGGGTGTAACAGCAAAATTGTCCAAATCGTGTTACAACATACGATAATTGTCCATCCCACAAAATGTTTGATATCTAAAAACCACTATGAGTTTCTTTTTCCAGATTTTCAGATAAGACGTTTAGCCATCTTGAGACCATTTGTCGTAAGAATCAGTGAAAAATCCTTTGAGTTAGTCAACTGGAAAAAGAACCGGTTAAAATCGTTTTGCGTCAACCCTACTCTGTCTTCCCAACCAAGCAATCGTGAGAGGAAAAATCATTCAGGCCTTCAGTAAGAGTAACAATATTCAAAGTCCATTCAAGATCCATTAAGAGAACCGTGAATGCGTTTAAAAAAGAGGGGAAATTAGAGAGGAAAACTGGGACTTGGTGCACCTAACAGCAAGAGTGATCGTCTTTTCAACTTAGAGATAAATACATTGTCATCATTTAAAGTAGAGCCCAATAGGGATGTAAAAATATCTTTCTAAGATACAACGGTTCAATGCTTAAGCTAACAATTGGACAATTTTGCTGTTAAACGATTTGGACA